CAAATACTAACTCTATAAATACAGGAGAGGTAGTTTAGACTGACTGGACTGACATGTGCTGATGTTCCTCCCATTTCCAATTTCGCTCCTGTAATCTATATAGTCATCCAGATCATCCTACACTCTTATCTCCCGTAAACTTTCCGACCACTCTCAAGCACCTACCTACCTTTATCTTCCCCCCTCGTCCTAAGTAGCTTCTTACTTCGTGACCTCTCTCGGTGGATACATTCTCACATTAAGGACTCCACAGCTCCCTTCCTAAAGGTATGTTGTATCTCATCACATACATCTACCATCCTCTTTTTGCTAATTTACATTTCCTGTATATTAGACTCTATGCCTCACGCAGAGAACGGAACAATGGGTGAGCCTTCTATCAACGGCGAGAAGGTCCATTCTCACTTCCTCGATGTAAGTTCCCTCGAGATGCCTGCTTGTTTGCGTGACAGTTGTCCGTGTAACATGTTACTGATCACAATGCGCCATAGCACCTTACCTCGTACCCGGTCGTTTCTGATTCGATCACCGTCTTCAAAAGCAACAAATATGGTGCCAAGTCCTTGGAGTATGCCGACCAAGGCTACGCCAGCATCGCCAAACCGTTACTTCCCTACTTGTCGAAGCCCTACGGTTACGTCGCGCCGTATGTTGCTCAGGTAGATAGCCTCGGAGATCAAGGATTGACCAAGCTCGACACATCGTTCCCCATCATCAAGGAGGACACAGATAAGATAAAAGGAACGATCTACGATACAGCCTTCTTCCCCGTGCGTCTGGCTGGTGATGTCAAAAGCCATGTCTTCGAGACTTTTGGATCGGAATACAAGAAGTGCGGCGGTGACGGAATGGTTGCAGGCGGCAAGGCTGCCATCAGCACCAGCCTGATCCTATCTCAAGAATCATTGGCCTATATCAGCTCGTTCCTTCAAAAGAAAGCTCAGACGAAGGAGGCCGGCAATGACAAAACCAATTAAGCGACATATCGTGGGGATAAATGGTTACTCTTACTTCTGCTTCCTTTTCTTCTTCCTGAACTGTGCTCTCCTTTCGCCAACATTTTTTCCTTTTCTGTCTGAGAGACAAAATGCTTCTCTGTAATTCATTGCTCGTATGGTTCGCATTTGGATACTCCTGGTGGGATCGTTTGTATCAGTCACAGTTAGATATTTATATATTCTGATGAACACCATCAAAACCCCGAAGCTAATCCAAAGCATAAGCGCCTGCTCGTACTGCAGTGCTTATTGTCAAGACATTACAGTTTTCGTCAATTCCCACAGACGAAGGGCAATGGATACATACGTCATTGTGGTATAATCTACACTGAGAATGGACACATGCAGCCAGCGCAGCTGCATAAGAACTAAAGGCAGCATACCAATTAATTAATGTGAAGATCTGGTGTTCATCGTCTTTTACTTTTTCCTTTTTTTTACCTCTTTTTACCACTTTTTTTTTTGACATATAAAAGTTATGGGCGCTTGCATGTGATTCCAACGTATAGATAGATAGTGGAGGCCAAGAAACGGAAAGGTTATCGCTACCCGAAGCGGATAAATCACGCCTGGTCCCACTATCAAGGTGACGGCGCGTCAAACGCGTCTGGCCAATCTTCACAGTGTCAGGAAACTGCCTAATTACACATAGCGATGCGATATGACTTACTGGCTACGGAGTAGTCTGCCGAGAATTATCTGCGTCTTCATCGCTGTTCATCAACATTCTACATCCGCACCCTCGCCATGCCTCTAGTTCGCAAACGCCGAGCTGTGAGTCACCTGTCACTTCATGACCAATCCGTTGCCAGACTAAACCAAAGCCCAAACATAGGAACAACCGCTCGAATCTGACAATGATGATGAAGTTTCAACTCCGGTCGCTGGCCCGGTCTCTACAGAGAATGCTCGTCGCCGTCTCCGACGCACGTCAGACTCGGAAAGCGACGACGACGCCGACCCGGACGACGCTCGCGCCCCGAGTTCTATGGATGTGATGGTTAAGAAGCTGGTCCGGCTAGCGCTGGCGAGTGAGTTATCGCGGCAACCGATCCGCCGGACAGATATAAGCACGAAGGTCCTGGGAGAACAGGGGTCACGCCAGTTCAAAATGGTCTTCGAGATGGCGCAGAAGACATTACGAGAGACGTTCGGGATGCAATTGGCCGAGTTGCCGGTGAAGGAGAAGGTGACTATTCAACAACGAAGAGGTACGTGACCTTGGTTACAAGGACAGCCAGATGACGAGGATTTTCTGACCCCGAAGTAGCCGCCCAAAAAGTCGACAGGCCCTCGTCCACAAACAAATCCTGGATTCTTACGAGTACTCTTCCTCTTGCGTATAGAAAGCTCGAGGTCCTTCCACCAACAAGAGCGCCCCTTGAAGGCACCTATACCGGGCTGTATTCCTTCATCATTGCCGTGATCCTGCTCAATGGCGGTTCCTTACCGGAGCAGAAACTCGAGCGCTACCTCAAGCGTACCAATGCTGATACGTACACGCCCATCGATCGTACGGACCGGTTTCTCCAGCGTCTATGCAAAGAGGGATATCTCATCCGTAATCGGGAAATGGATGGTGGAGAAGAAATCATCGAGTACATGGTCGGGCCGCGCGGTAAGGTCGAGGTGGGCGTTCAGGGAGTGACCGGGTTGGTGCGGGAAGTCTACGGTCGTCAGGGCGCTGTTGAAGGGGACGATTCCACGCCTGCGGAGCGAGCGCAGATGGAGGAATTCGAGTCTCGGCTGGCTCGGAGTCTAGGTATCAGGCGACCTGGGGCTCGGGTGGCTGATAATCAAGACGAAAGCGAAGATGACGAAGATGGTGAGGCACCAGAGCGAAGTCGAAGACTTCGCGGTCCTGGTTCTGATGCCGAGGGAGACGACGACAGTGACGGTTAAGTTTGAGTGGCTCTGAATTTGGCTATTATTTGTGTGCCCTTTATTATCTATGATAAATATGATACCCTCAATTGACTGTTTAAATATACGAGATAAGGAATTATAGTGTCTGTATAGCCTACCGGTGTTCGCAGTATGTGGGAGCATATGAGCGGACATATATGTTGGACGTGTTGAGCCTATTCGGCACAATGCGCATTGCTCATCCACCTTGCTAGCTACCTTAAATGACTTGCACCGATGTCTTCTAATACTGGTGTTATCACTAGTCTTCGTATTTTCCATCATACTCAGCGGCTACCACGTCCCCATCGATATTGTCAGAGGAAGAACACCTTGGAATGCAATCCCATGGGCTGTTATTTATGATCCATAGTACATCAAAGCAGCTGCATCTAGTAACAACATGGAATGAGAACGCGCAACAGTATACAACTCGAATAGTCTATTGACCCAAAATGTATAGAGAGATATAGTCATAAGGTCGTACACCCAGAAAGAGTCAGCCCATCGCCGTCAATGATCTACCTAGCCTACTCGCTGTCACTGGCACTATCATGTACCGAGCCATTATCCCCAGTGTCCCGAAGACCCTCGGCCAGAATATATTCAGCCTGCTGTAGGGTGGATTTGATATGCTGGTTGTTGTTGTAGACCAGCTCAACGGGCTTCTGGCCGTGCTTGTTCCGTACGCGCGGATCGCAGCCAGCTTCGCACATCATTTTGATCATTTCGAGACCAAGCTCGGGGTCCTTGTCGTTGGCGAAGCGCACGGCGCAGTGGAGGGGGGTGTCTTTGTCGAGGCGGGTGAGGGGGTCACATTCGAAGTATTGGATGTCGAAAAGGGCGTCCATTGTATCATCTGCCAAAGCAGATCATTATTAGTCTATATTGATATATATGGATAGCGGATTGACGGGGATCGCCTGGACCTACAGCTTCCGTACATCGCACATATGTGCAGGGCATGGTTCCCCAATGCATCTGTCACGCTGTTGAAAAACTCCGCGACCTCTTCGTTCGATTTACCGCTCATTGTATCCAGCACCTGCTCGATCAGGTGAGGCTGGTCTCGGCGGCATGCCTCGACGACCAGTTCGCGGGGTGACGCGCCCTTTCTGGTCAGTTCCTTAACTCACGATAGCTGGAAGCATCACTCACTTCGTCCGCCATTTTGCTGAGTACGAAACAGAAACTGGGTTGTAAAAATGTCCCGTACCAGTGACACAATTTCAGACTTTTGATATCCTTCTTATAAAAATGTTGTGGTGTGGTTTGGTGGTATTATGCGGGGTAGAATTGGAAGCTGTACGAAATAGGACTGTATAAGGAGGCTGTTACGGCAGATCGGAGCCACCACCACAAATCAGAAGACAATAGGGGAACAAGGAACTTTGGTTTACAAGCCAGCTTTTGGGATGCCTAGAGGTGTGATGGAATCTAGTGTAAGGAGACTATCTAGACATAGAAAATTGAAGTACCTTAATATTTCCAGTTCTGCTGTTCCTTATCTGTTTAGTGATACTCTGGTACATCAACTCAGGTACCTTATCCAGGGATTGCCTATCTACAAGGTGCTGCCTGATAACCGCTCGGATGATCCATTGTCCGTTCCGCTGCATGTGCCCCGCGTCCAATCGGCGGCTGTCATTGTTATTTTGCATACAGGCGCGCGGCAAAGACTAAATTCCTCTCCGCCAACGACGTCGTTACTTGAAGGCGTACGCCAGAAGCAGTTGCTCCATTATTGTTGAGACCAGAGTCCCTTGCCGTGAAATTGTCGCACAGGAGCAGGATAGTCTGCAGAGTACATTACTCGTCTGAAACTTAGTATACGAACATATTGTCAGATTCCTGGCGAGAGGCTCCAAGATGTTGACATGTGAGTTAAATACCCCGCCGGCTTGATAGCAGCTCGGTAGAAAGACATGAGACTGACATAAGCTGTTCACCTTGCCAGTTTGCCCGAATTGCGGCAATTCTCTGACCATTTCACGCGGCGAGCCAACTCGAGAGTATCCCCTCGGCGTCAACCGATTCGAATGCCGGACATGTCCCTATCAGCATCTTCTGAAGCACGGTAGACAAGAGAAAACCAGCATGAAACAGAAGGAGGTGGAAGACGTCCTTGGAGGCAAGGAAGAGTTTGCGAACGCCGACAGCATGGGCAGTAAGTACTGGATTGTTGCAATATGAGGTTTTTGAGCTTTGCAGTGGAGGCTAACACGGATGGTGTTTGTTCTGCGTTACAGCCCAGTGCCCCGCCGAAGATTGCAATGGCGATCGTGCATACTTCTTCCAGCTGCAGATTCGGAGTGCGGATGAACCTATGACTACATTCCTTAAGGTGAGCGTTTCCGTTCCCGCAGTCATGCTGCCAGCTGCATCATGCGCAGTGCTAACTGCATATGATAGTGTACTACATGCGGTGCGCGGTGGAGAGAAAATTGATCATCGCCATCGAGTGACGGTGACGACGGCAATAATTGCACCAAACGCACTGCTTGATTGACTCATAGATTGATAACGAGGCGAATATGGAGCAAGGAAAAAGGCGCTAATTTTTTTTTCTTTTTTTCTGTTGTTTATTGTGCTTGCAGCAGTTGGAGGATTTGTTGTTCATAGACAGGAGCTTCAGAGATACCCCTCATTGTCGATTATCTACACGTGTAGCTGTTGAGTATCTAGGCTCTCGACTATTCGGATTAGCCGCACCTTTTTTACTTTCTGCTCTTGTTCAGTAATTCCTTACCGCCTTTCTTTTCTTAGAACCCACATATCATAATCACTGAATCTGGATTGGTTAAATTACGTAGCTTTGTGTGATCTTCCAAGTTCCAAATGACTCAAGAGGACCATTTTGGGGGTCCGATAAATCTAATTCAGTTCAACCAACTAACTGATGAGGGGCATCTACGCAAGGCCGTGACTCGAAAAAGTTGGCGGCAACAATAATCCAGCCTCCCTAGCAACTGTGTTGATAGTGGTGAGGTAAAAAAAAGTTCTTCCTTTCTTGTTAATGTATCGTCTGTAGACTAGATAGGCTTCCTTTTTTGAGCCGTCGACCTTACAGTGAAAATCCTAATTGTGGGTCAAGGAGGGGCGCCACTCGGCCGGGCCACCTTGTGCTGCCCATTAGGCAAATAGAGACCATGAGTTGCCGCGGGGTTCTGTTACAGGACATAGAAATCAAGCCCCTCGCTCGTAGTAGACTATATACTGCGTCGTAGTGTGTGGTACGTTGTAGTAGTAGGATAGACAGGTTGTACTGGAACCCTCCTGCGTTGATGCCCAGTTTTCCAGTCCGAAATCCACTATAGACATTGGGAAAATAGGTAGATACAGTGTAAGACTGTAGAGGTTGGAAAAAATTTTTTCTCGCTCCCTCCTTTCTTTGCTTGTAAAAAAAGACAGTGGATCCAGACTCGGAGCACCCAAAAGGACGTGAACCAAGGAAATGCAGGATCTTCCACCAGACAACAGCGCGAAAAATCTGATCGAAGCAGCCCAACCGACTTGACACTCCGCCGCCTGTGAAGATTTTGCGCTGGTCCCGCACCATCAGAGTGGGGCATTTACCCCTCCATGTCCAATGATAACAGCGGCTCGCCAAGGGTTTGAGCCCGCCGCTTAGTCGTTGTCTCGCTTGACCCCTCCATATAAGGATTTCCCCTCCTCCCCTCCCACAAAATTTTTCTTCTCTTCCCTCCTCGTCCGCTTCAGTACGTATATCTTCCCCCTCTTCCTATTCCGTCCTTCTTTCTTTCATCTTTTCAACTAACATCTTCGCTCAGTACCTCTACGCATACTAGCCGTAGTACCTGAGCAATTTCCACAGAACTTCTCTAGTATCTTACAAAGAACTACAAGGTTCAAACCTAACCGTCAAAATGGGGTGAGTGAAAGGCCTTGTCCAAGTCGGTCCGTCATTAGGCTGGGTTGGCTAACTTTTTATCTTCTCTCTACAGTAAGGAAGACAAGACTCACATCAACATCGTCGTTATCGGCCACGTCGATTCCGGCAAGTCGACCACCACCGGTCACATGATCTACAAGTGCGGTGGTATCGACCAGCGTACTATTGAGAAGTTCGAGAAGGAAGCCGCCGAACTCGGCAAGGGTTCCTTCAAGTACGCCTGGGTTCTTGACAAGCTCAAGTCCGAGCGTGAGCGTGGTATCACCATCGACATTGCCCTCTGGAAGTTCCAGACTCCCAAGTATGAGGTCACTGTCATTGGTAAGTTTGACTCTGTCAGGACGTGTTGTGACTGTAGCTAACACTATCTCAAGATGCCCCCGGTCACCGTGACTTCATCAAGAACATGATCACTGGTACCTCCCAGGCTGATTGCGCTATCCTCATCATTGCCTCCGGTACTGGTGAGTTCGAGGCTGGTATCTCCAAGGATGGCCAGACCCGTGAGCACGCTCTGCTTGCTTTCACCCTCGGTGTCAAGCAGCTCATCGTTGCCCTCAACAAGATGGACACCTGCAAGTGGTCCGAGGATCGTTACAACGAAATTGTCAAGGAAACCTCCAACTTCATCAAGAAGGTCGGCTACAACCCCAAGGCCGTTCCCTTCGTCCCCATCTCCGGTTTCAACGGTGACAACATGCTTGAGCCCTCCTCCAACTGCCCCTGGTACAAGGGATGGGAGAAGGAGACCAAGGCCGGCAAGGTCACTGGTAAGACCCTCATTGAGGCCATCGACGCCATTGAGCCTCCCGTCCGTCCCTCCAACAAGCCCCTCCGTCTTCCCCTCCAGGATGTCTACAAGATCTCTGGTATCGGAACGGTCCCCGTCGGCCGTGTCGAGACCGGTGTCATCAAGCCCGGCATGGTCGTCACCTTCGCCCCCGCCAACGTCACCACTGAAGTCAAGTCCGTCGAGATGCACCACCAGCAGCTCCAGGAGGGTGTCCCCGGTGACAACGTTGGTTTCAACGTCAAGAACGTTTCCGTCAAGGAAGTTCGCCGTGGTAACGTCGCCGGTGACTCCAAGAACGACCCCCCTCTCGGTGCTGCCTCCTTCAACGCCCAGGTCATCGTCCTCAACCACCCCGGTCAGGTCGGCGCTGGTTACGCCCCGGTCCTCGACTGCCACACTGCCCACATTGCTTGCAAGTTCGCTGAGCTCCTTGAGAAGATTGACCGCCGTACCGGAAAGTCTGTTGAGAACAACCCCAAGTTCATCAAGTCCGGTGATGCCGCTATCGTCAAGATGATTCCTTCCAAGCCCATGTGTGTCGAGTCCTTCACCGACTACCCCCCTCTTGGTCGTTTCGCCGTCCGTGACATGCGCCAGACCGTTGCCGTCGGAGTCGTCAAGTCCGTCGAGAAGTCCGCTGGTGGCGCCGGTAAGGTCACCAAGGCCGCCCAGAAGGCCACCAAGAAATAGAGGATTGGAGAGTGAAAACTTTGCTTGAACATTCTTCTATGAGATGTCATGAAATGACCTTTTTTACGATTAAAATGGAATTAGAGTGAATTCATTTTCATGTCTCACATTTTTGAAGCCGTAGTGTAGTTATTTTGACACCTCCATTGAGTACCTATGTGGATGGGGTACAGTTCCTGTCACCGTCTGTAATTTACCCTGATCTCTGTAAACTACTTTTGTCCTAGGGCATTCAATGCTGGTACGGTGGAGATAGGACACATTGATGTGGCTTATATTTTCACTCGAAACCAGATTCTGTCTTCAGGCTGTTTTTCACCTTCCCAATCTCATTTTGAGTTCTGTTAATGTAGCTACATTAACTATGCAATCCATCAGTCCAATGTCTTATGGCACACTCGTCTTGTTCTAAATTATCCTTGCTCTACTTGATTATTGACTCATCAACTGCTTCAAAGTTGGTGTACAATCAGCGAACTATGACTCTCCAAAGAAACTACGGCTGACGCTTCATGCCATACTATGACAGACAATGTAAACAACAATCTATTTGTACTTGTCCATGTCACCTTGCATTGTCGCCAGTGTATAGACTGCACACACCGCCCAACAGGCCAGTAGTCCTTTATCTGTGAAATGCTGACCTTCTCATAGATGACTGATGACAACCTATCTAGAGCAATAAATGACAAAGTTCGGAAAGCTTTGCCGGCGTACTCAATTTATTGAAGCTCTATGCCCGTGTTCGACATAGATGGATTATTCGCTCTACAATAATTACCCGATCAAAGCCGATCAAACTATGTCTACGCCATAAAGCGCTGAGAGAGATAAAGCTGAAGTATGGTGACACTATCTACACTGATGACACATGACATGACACTAAGACGACAGGGAGCGAATTTAAAAAAGAGGCTCATAGCCTTCCGACTTAAACGCTACCAGGACCCGGTAGCCGGGCATCGTTGAATTCTTGAATGTTTGAGTGCCGCTCCATAGAGGTCTCTGACAGTCAATGTCCGGAGCAGAATGCTGGGTTCCATCAAGAACGGTCTCAAGCTGTTCTGTGTCCTTGATCCGAGACAACAGAGACAACAACTTGTTGACTGGAGTTTTGTCCGGTAAAAAAAGGTCGACAAGTCCTTGCGCGTACAGAGCGTTTTGGACAGGCCAATCTTCGGAAATCAAATTGCAGCCAGATATCTTATAGAGCCTCGCGAACCTCGAGCTCCTGCGGATATGCTGCGTCTGGTGTTGGTAATCGTGGTATTGACCAGCCGCAGCGTGGCCACACCCTACTCTGCGTCGTATCGGATCAGGGTGATCAAGTTTGTGTGTGCCAATTGGTTCAGCTTCGGGCTGTGTAGCACGGACTTCCGCAACAACTTCTGTTGCGGATATGGGCTGATTGTGCTCGTTATCATTCGGAATGGCCATGGTCTCGTTGTCGGTATCTGGGAGTGTTTCGTCAGACCACGCCGTTTGCCGTCAACACTGGACATTTCGGGCGCGGAGACACAAGACTGAAAAACGCCACCATTTTTCGCACATTAGCTACACGGTTCGCTAGCTACTTCACCCCGAGCTTGGAAAAGTATGGGGTCACAGCGGCACGTGGTTCTTCAACTCCTTTTGGAGTTCCTTACCGTTTTTCGTGACCCAATCCACCGTGCGGACGGGATCGAGGAGCACGACGCAGCTGCGCTGACTGCGGGTAAGTCTCGACTTAACTTCTCATTCTGCAGCCTGGACTGCACCCGGTGAACAGTCAATATCTTCCATCTGGATGAGACACTCCGAAGACATACTTTGAATCTTGAACCTGGAAAGAGTTCAAAGATGAGGGTCCAAACAATCTTGCCACTTCCGAAAATAACTAGGAAGATATTGATTCCGATGCATCGGTTGCGTTGAAGCAGCACGCAGCCATAGAGGCAAAGAGCGAGACGCCTGGCGTATATCAAAGATAACGGGAGATCCAGAAGCCCATGTATAGGCTATTGGTTTACGGCTTGTCCTCATTGAAATATGAGACAGTTGATGGAGAGAAAAGAGACGCAGATTACTTGGGGGTCAAGGGGGTTTATATACCTCAAGCATCTCGCTCTGTTTCACTAGCCTCACATCTAGCAATCCCTTTTAGCGAAGCAAGATTCACTCATTTCATTGAACTAGAGGCAATTACTACTTGGTAAGCCCGGCAAAGAAGGTGAAAGAACCAGATATTGGACTTATTGTTAGGGAGGAGTGAATGGCATGCTCATTGAATGGCTGCATAAACAGCAGGCAATACTTCTATCAATGTAAAGTTAATAAAGAGCATGCTGAAAGAAGATATAGATCATAAGGACTTGTACATGTTATTAAGTGTCTTTGAGTTTCTGGTAAAGAGAATGCAGCAGTTGGATGCATCCGTCCAGCCTTGCTACACCGGCGGGATTCTCGACACTCTTACTATAAACTGGTCAGCATCAATCTTCAGGAATGAAATTTAAGATATCTAGCGTCGTCTGTAGTGGAAGCGGTAGAATATTCGATATGTGAGGAGGGTCGTCTTCAGCTCAAACTACTCTAGAATAGGCCGATATTGGTTTCTAGGGTCACTGACAACATCTGCAAGATTAAAAACATAATATCTAAGACAGTATGTCTGACTATGCAGCTCTTTCACTACGGTCCTCCCAAACTCTAAGCCATCATCATCCTGCAGTAAGCCTTGAACAGGACCTGATGGGAAGAAGAGGTTGGGCGCCGCATTCTTAAAATCTTGCCAAAGTCGAGAGTTATTCGGAAGCTTTCCTTCCTGGTGCAACGAACTCGCAGCTGAAGCATCATGTTTTCTACTACGATGAGATACTTCGGCTGCTCATTCCCGTCTTGTCTCGCTCCTCCTCTTCTGTCCATCCATTCAATGTCCTCCTCCAGGGGTAACTTCCTCAGACAACTAAGAGTAATGGCTACCTGAGCTCGAAAGTCTGTAAGTCCATTGCTCAGTTCTAGATAAACAGATGCAGAAACAGTAGTGCAGGAGGAAGATAAGGTGGACTAGAGAATAGAATCTGTCCTTTTGGAGAACGAGTTTCCAATGAGAATATAAGGTAGCGTGTCATTTCACTGACTCTATAAGATGCGTAATTACTCTAGCAGTAAAACAAGTCATCTTAGACAATCAACCTTCAGGCAATGAGAGAGAGATATCAAAGGATGTTTGAAAGTTGTCTTCTGAACAAGCTATTCTTCGTTCACTAGAGTCAGTAAAAGTTCCAGAACCACAAACAAAACTCCAGGACATGCTGAGTTGCAAACAGGAGGAATTGGAGCCTGATCAGTCTACTTAGAGTCCTTGTCAACCAGCTAAACATGCTTGCTGGCCTGCCTTGAGCATCGAATCAGTTGGCAGCTTCGAAAGACACGGAGCACTGTAGCGATTAGGGCTGCTTACAGCTCAACAGCGTTTCGACAACAACAGTATAATTGGCTGGACGCTCTTCGGTATCAACAGGAAAAGTAAGAGTGTCAAACAAGCAGTGGCAGTCATATAATGTTTAGAGAGGGAGTCTTAACATCCACTGCATCAAATCACCCCTTTCATGAAGGGTAGATACCTTTTGTCATCAAACATACAGTATGTTTCTTAAAGCTTACATTCACACCCTGCCTTTATTGTTGGATTTATTGGATTCACTGACTACATTCACAATCAGTACTTCAAGCTTAGTGAGTATCATCTCTCTTGTAAGTGTAGCAGAGCCAGCAACATCAGAGCTCTACTCCTCTCTGCAAATCTTTGCCTCTACCCTACCCCTCGCCGACTACTTATATCTGTTGCGCTCACCCCTTAAGCCAAACAACCTATACACGTGCTTTAATGGATGTTCTCCTGCAGCTTCGGGAATCACATGGGGCACCTCGACTGGCATGTCATGCGCCTCCTCTGTCACCTGTCCTTCAGTCCGACCCTAGACGATTACTACCGCCGTGCAGATGATGAGACGGACACCATGGCTGCAGCTACCAGCAAAAGCATCGAGCGCCGGGACCGGGGGTTCTCAGATTTTTGGTGGCGGACGTGTGAGGGGACACGCAATATGATTCCAACAACCCACCTAGGGCAGGCATATTATTTAATGACGGATGCAGTCAAGTTGCGATACTTACTGCGGATTTTTTATCAAGAGGGTCTCCTTCGCACGGCAGGGGAGGGGCGACTACCACAGTTCCTCCTCTTTATTGACTGGCCGATGGTGATGTGGATTGTGGAGATGTTCCTTGACTCAATTGATGTCAAGTACTAGACTATCCGGGCCACAATGAATGATGGAGCTTGCCGTGAGGCGGCAGAGTGCTCTACCACGGCAGATAGCGACTGCAGTGTGCTTCTCACTTCATACTAGCGTGGTGCTCACGGTTTGCACCTTCATGGACAATGCAGCCAAGTCGTCTTGTTAGAACCACCACTGAACCTCAACACCCTGTTCCAGGCGGTGGGGCGGATGCACCGCCTGGGACAGGGTGACGCGCAAAAGGCCTGGATTCTTCAAGAACATACCATATCGAGGTGGACAGACTGCAACAACATGATCAAGGCACTCCCACAGCTGGTGGCATCCCTGCACGACTTTCCGGCCTTGGAATTCTCAGGGCGATGTGTCTGCATCGGCCAAACAACAATCTGCGCTGCCTCTTTGAACTGCAGCTGGCATAGCCTACTTACGAGTTATAGCCTTGCACTCATTGAAGGAGACTATCCCCTGGCTGTCACCGCCAGGGGCACCCACGTCATGCACCTCCGCCTGCCCCGAGCCGTCGCGGCCCTTCTTCATCTCAGACAGAAGTTTGACAAAACGGTTGTTGTGGTCCTCATGTATTCTTAGCGGGTGTCGGAGGTTAATCTTGGTCCCCGGTAGCAGGATATCTTCTCGCCATTCAGTATCCGGCCCAGCCGTTCCCATCGAAGTGACCAAACATGAGAGGACGAGGACGAACCCTCTGAGCATTGGGCAGACCGTCACTCAACTGGAAACGCTACGAAACCTGTACTTTCGGGACGATGAAGAGTGCTCCCTGGAAGCGGGGAACAGACAGAGCGAACAAGATCTTCAAAGCAGGAAAAGACAGACAGACGACGATGAACACAGCAGATCAAAAAAGAGGATGAAGATAAAGGATTTGACAAGAATGAGTGAACCAGAAAACACAGGGGGACACTACTTAAGAAGTGCCCAAACACGTAGCTGTGCTCCGCCCGATAACGATCAGAACGATGACTACGAACCGCCTGAATCCTTCTCAAACGAGCATTACGAACCAATGGATGATGATTATGATCCACCAGAAGTATTCCCAGATACTGACAGTGAGATCATGGCCATTTCGAATGATAACAAGATGGACCTCCTCTATCGCTATTGTCCAATATTTAAAGCACAAGATTTCGAGATTGTTGCTGGTTATGCTGCGCGGCAGTCAGATGCTATGGCCTTTTGGATGGCGGAGACAAGCGATGCAACTACTTCCGTCAGTGGTTTCCCCCCTCAATACGGTCATGTGGTTTTCATCGCCTCTTGTCGTTGACATATAGATAGGTAGATGAGATGTCTGTCTCCCCGGTGACCACGTCTTCTCGCCTGGTGGCTTCGTACACTGCATTGTCTGCGCCTGCCCCTGAGGACAAAGATGTCGGTATAGATGTCTTCGCGAGCGAGTTGATGGAGGACCCGAGGAAGAGAGCCTTCAATTTTACACTCATACAGAAATATTGGATTCAATGCCACTTACCTTTGCCAGCAGATCGAATCTGGATGCGCTAAATTTATGAAGAGAGAGACTGACTAGCAAGCAAGCTAGAAACAGGGAGCATATGAGAGAATACCGCCGTATTCATCATGACAGAAGGGCCGCATTCAGAAGTCATGCGTGTTGTGCGCGGCTAAGAAACGCAAATGCCTTGAAGAAACTCAAGAACCAGTGCCATAGGGATGCTTTTCTGTTGCAACGTCGCGGCGAAGTTGCAATCGAAGCTTGCACGCAATGTGCGAAAAATGGGGGAGTATTCCAATCATGTGTTGCGGCGCCGGAAGTCGTTGGTGATGACGACAAACGTCGAGTGCTGTTCGCAGGCGCATGTGCAAATTGTATCTGGCACAGTAAAGGGGCCCAGTGCGAGTGTTACGCTGGGAAGTCCTCGCATTGGAACAGTGACGACGATATGTGAGTACCTCCTTCGGCTTCTTCTGCCTTCTTTTCGCTCCTTTCTTCATTTTCTTTTCAGTTTGTACTAATTCTTCTAGGAACATTCTACAACAGGGTGGCCTTCGGGCCTTGGATGGTGGAGAAACCGTTCGTGACTGGCCTTTGGATGAAACCGCCCCTTCCGTTCTCATTTCTTCCCCCGTGGCCACTGAGGTGGCTTCGTCTGCACCCCAGACGGAGACTAAACGCCAGACTCGTTCTGGTCGTACTCGAGACTGCTGCCAGAACATGTTAAGGCGGCGAGGCGAGCTCGTAGAAAGATGCAAATGAGAGGGTACCGGGCCAAAAAAAGCCTTGCTCAACCCTAAACAGAAGCATATCGTACCTGCGAAGAACAAGGTACGGAACGACCAACGGAAGATCTTGCGAGCTAGCGATTCACTGTAGAAAATGAAGGCTAAGTTGCAGATGAGAGTCAGCCGAGCACGAAAGGAGTATCGAAAGCAACTACTCAAGTTGAACAAGCCACTGCGGAAGTCCGGCTCGCCGTCGCTGAGGTTAAACGCTTCAAATTTAACCAGAAGCATGGAATAGCATTGAAGAGCATACCTTCACCTCGGTTCTTTGAGTTGGCTCAGACTGTTGATGAGTCTAGTGACGGAGATACTGGCATAGCTGGGCTCCTGAATCAAGGACGTAGAACGGCTTGAGACTATTCTTGACGGAACCAGGCTTTCGGCCAGCCACCCACTGCTACGAAAACTAAAAGGCCCAGTGGAGCAACACTCACACGTTGAAGATTTCAATGAGGCCGGATACCCCGGTTATGATCACGTTTAATGACCAGAGCTTCTATGGGCCTCTATGGGGAAGGTTGCTTTATATCAAGTCAGCAACGTCTCAATTCGGAGGCTTCGCTTCATGTCGTAAACACCATGAGAAGCCTGTTTATCTAGGGTATGGCAACATCCATTGGTCCATCACAGCAAATGCTAATTATTCTTAGGGAGAATAATAAGAAGTCAGAAGCCCAGAAGGAGAGAAATAGGGCAAAATCGGCTTATTTTGAGCAATATCGAGTCAAGAATGCGAACAAAATGATAGAATGGCCCAAAGAAAGGCTGACCTGTAGCAGAAACTCAAGGTCCAGCACCAGATGAAGGTCAAAAGCCAGACAACATATAATAAGGCACAACTGACCAGGCCAAACTCAAACTTGCTATTACGCAAGTAGAACGACATAAGTTCAATCTAGAAATGAATCACCACAACGGACTCCTTCAGCGGAATTTTTTTTTAATTGGCTGAGCCTTTCATAAAAGATGACCTACAGCGCCCCTTCCAGCGTCTGGTTAGAGAAATTGCCCATTCAATTGATAATAAAGCGCGGCCGTGGCAGGCAACTGCCTTGGTGGCCTTGCAAGAGGCAGCAGAAGCAATGCTAGTCCAGGAGTTTACAAGTACAGAACTCCATTGCAAATGTTACACTTAAATGTACTAATAAATATCATTAATAGTGGTTAATCTTGCCGCCATTCACACGAAGCGTGTCACCATCCAGACTAAAGACACGCATCATATTCAACAGATACAGCAATGCATGACAGGCTTCATCAGATACCCTTGCCGCAGATGAGGCTCTAATGGCTCTATACCATGTACTTAGGTCTAGTCTTTAATAGGAATCGAAGCTTAATTGTATTAGTTTCGTCGGATAATTATATCTCCAGTGGCATAACAGTAACTTAGAAATGGGATAGATAAACAGCAAGAACTAAGGAGTTCATTCTAATCATATAAATATATACATTTTTCTTAGGTAAGTTAGGTTACTCAACCATTAATGTACTATGTAATGAACTACTGCGATATACAAGCATTCAATATCCATACTATTTAAGCATTTAATTATGTCTTTCTAGGTTCGCGAAGATACTACCTCTAATGCATTTTTAGTATGCTGCTATAGCAACCAAGCTTTACTACATATTGGATAGGAAGTTTGTGGAGGTAGTGACAGTAGGTAATACATGCAACAAACAGTAAAAAATCCAAAAGTCCACATTGTAGCAACAGTCCGCCGTATGACCCACTGGCGCCGAGGATTCTCCATATCAATCCGAAGGAGAATTAGGGATGAGAACAACCATGAATCTGAAGCTACAGACGACCACCCAAAGAGCTGGATAGTACCCGAATAACTAGCTCATGAATACTATATCCAGACTGGACAATCAAAATCATCAGAAGTTCGAATACAACCGTTTAGAGTGGAAAGTTTATGTATCTACACACTACTGCAATGGACAATTTCTTCATGAATGTCAAAGAATAACTATCTCCTACCTAATTCACCGAGTCTAACGACGCATGATGGCTCGAATGGCCGCAGTGGAACACGGGATCTCCTGCCCAGCATACGCGCAGCGGTTCCAGATCCGTGCTGCTGCTTTCCTCGACCTTTATGGGTAGAGTCTCTTTAACGTTGATCAGGACGGATCCTGTCTTGGCTTGATGGTTCAGTACGGTGCCAATTTGCTTGTATTCTAATCTCTCACGCGAGCCTACTAAACATGGAAGTGGTCATTCAACACCAGCGATTGCTGGGTCACCTTCATTTAGCTACCTGGCTATCTGAACCGAGCAACCTCAACAGTAACACTTCCAGGGCAACCTCAGAAAGGAAGCAATCGAGTCAAACGGATGTGTGGAATTTCCGTTGCTGTTTCTGTCGGAAAAGATCAAAGCGGTAGCCAATCAACCTCCAGGAAAAACGCATTTGCAGAATGTAGCCTGGCTCAAATGGATATCTAACCCATCTATCCGGATGGTCTGTAAAGTTGAGAGATAAAGAAAAAATGGAGAAAGCAAAGCCACTTGGGCCATCAAGCTTATGAAAGCCGGTCGACGGCGAAAGATCATTATTCTCGCCCACAGAATCTCGTCCACAACGTCGTCGTAGATGGAGCCAAAAGTTTGATCATCTCACTTGTAATAGGGTCAACAAAAAGAAGCACCAGGTCTTGAAACACCCCACGGATTGATGGCATGTACAAAAACGGAAACAAGGTAGTATATGCAAAAGTTGGGAAAAGAAAAGCAAATAAACTCCAGTGTCATGCATCTTGAGGACGTTATCACATATCAAAATTATCATCAACGTTGAAGATGCCCGGCTCGCCGCCGTCGTTGTTCTTGTGGATGCCACTCATGCGCTGGTCGGTGGAGCTGCCGTGGTGGTGTGCCCGCTGCCACGTCTCCGGATCCTCGTCCATGTGGTCGCTCGGGTCGTGCTTCATGTGGTGATCGATCGAGGTCTCATTGACAAAGGTAAAGCCTTTGAAGTTGGCCTGCATTCCTGGCGACAGTGGCGTCGAGGCGGGCATGAATCCATTAGCCAACGCAGCGGCACGATCGTTCAGCGAGGCACTGTTGTCAAGAGCGTTGGTGAATTCGGGATCAAAGTTGGACGTGTCGGTGTCGGACTTGAGCTTGGGCTTGAAGGGCGGGATGACATCCTTGCGGGCGAGCGCCTCCCAGTCGATGTCATGGAAGAACGGGTGCGCCATCAGTTCCTTCGCATCTCCCTTGGCGCCCAGACGGTGCTTGGGGTTTCGGTTCAGCAAGCCCTTGACGAAATTCCTACCCTCCGTGCTGAGTGCGTCCCGAGGGAAGCGGACCTTGCCGAACGCGATGTTCTTGTACATCTGCTGGGTATCCTCCGCGTAGAACGGGCTCCACCCGCAGCACATCTCGAAGA